TCGGCAGGAAGGAGGGACAATGACAAAGAGGCACAGGAGCACCATCAGTGCCGAGCCTTGTACTGGAGAAACCCAACACCTTGCCCTCACTTCTGCCAAGCACCCCACAGCCCATGCACACAATGTGGCACCAGCCCTGGGGAAGAAGCTCAGCAGAGCCATGGGAGAAGATCCCCCCGCACTGCTCAAACAGAGGGTGGGGAGAAGATGAAGAGGCACTGAATGTCCACCTAACAGGCTTGCACTGACACAAGATCACAGCTCCTGCTTCTATCCCTTCTGCTCCTCTAGGGCAGCAGAGAAACATCACCGCTCACTTCAAGTGAAGCAGCAAGCTCAGCCATGGCATCTGCTAAGAGTACCCCACGCCCAGTGCTCATCTCTAACTGGAGACTGCTCTAACCATGGGTTGCTCTGCACCTCACCACCATCCCAATCAAAGCTGCTCCAGTTCAAGGGGACTGCAATGCGTTCACAAATGGGGTTTGGCGAGTGAGGGGTGATTTGAGGCTCCCTTAATGCAAAAGAGTTGATTTGGGGTTGCATGGACCTGGCAGGTCAGGCAGTGGCACCGCTCTCACATTTACTCTCTTGAACACGGTGTTATTTCCACGTCCAATTAATTCCATCTCATTAGGCCATCTTTGCCTGGTTTACTCTCATTACACCGGTCCAGATGCTACGTTATTCCCTCCCATCCCAATTCCGACACACACACACATGAAACCAATCCCAACAAAAGAGCTGCCCAGCCAGAAAATCATTTCACTTTATTCATCCTTTTATTAGTTTTCACCCCGTATGCTCACAATTGACAGATTCCCATTTTGCCAGTAGGAGGCAGAAGAAAGGAGGGGGGAAATAATGTAGCATCTTTTCCCCCCTTTCTGTAGCATGGCACTGATGTGTCACACATCAGGGTCTCTTGACAAAAGCCGCCTCTTTCTGCAGGGAAAAGCTGCTGGGAAGGAAGTTTTCCTCCGAGGTCTAATCCCAGATTTCTTCAGGTTTCCCGCAGTTCTTCCTGCACTAGAGCACGAGAGAGAGCACGTCCTCTGGGCTATCCCAGCACACCGGTATGCCTCCAGCGCTCACCCAGCCTTGCACATCTATGGCACAGTAATGGAAATCACCATTAACAGGAGGAAATCACTTGCAGTGACTGCAAAAGGAAATGTCCCATAAGGTGGGAGGAGCCCACAACTAAAGCCAAAATGCAGCATTAGACCTAGGGGAGGATGTAACTGTGCTAGAACACTATGGGCAAATCACATGGAGACTCCACTGAAGGCACAGAACCTCAAGGGACAGTGATTGCGCGCCATTAGGGCCTGGACACAGGGCAAGGAGAAAGGAGGTACCTTAAGCCATCACCTCAAGGGGGCATCCCAGTTTAAACATCACACGCCTAGGGCTCAGCACCAGGATGCGTGGCCAGTTTTGGGCTCCCTGTGCTTGTTTTCTCCCTGGGCTTCAACTGATTCATGTGAACAACAGGGATGATAACAGCCCTCTAACAGTGGCAATCTCTGCAATATCAGCTCTGCTCAAGCAGGTGAGCTGGCTCAGCTCACAGACGTGACCCTGCCAGCATTTCCTGAGCCTGAGTTCTGTTCTTATGGCCTCAACACTGAATCACCAGCTCCATTCTACTCTGTGACAGTCAGGGAATCAGGGCAGTGCTCATCCAGCAACCCCCCCACCCCCCTGCCTTGAGCATCAGCTACTGAACGGTGCAGCACTGGGAGAGGGAGGAGAGGACCGGGGCTGGCGCTGGCTCTGCCTCCCCTTCAGGACAGAAACCTGGTGCTGGGCATCACCTACACATGGCTTGCACTGGAACAGCTCCACCAACATTCACCGCACATTCATACGCAGCCCAACCCCAAAAAGCTCTGATCTCTGATGCAAGCTTGAGGTGTATGCAGAATAACCCAGCTCTAGCACTGACTTTGAGAGCATGAAGGTGAAAAGTGTATTTCACAAACCCAGACTGCATTAGTTAATTGCTGAAGCCCCTGCTAAACTAAATGGGCTCATTGCCATGCAACCAAGCAGTTAGCTGGAACAGCTACGAAACGCTGCTCGTCTGTCCCACATCAGCTCCTCACCAGCGAATTCTTCCATCCCCTTTTTCCTTCCCATATCAATGCCTTCCATCATAACAAGGGCTCCTGCCCACTGCCCAAACTCGATTGTCACTCTTTACTTCAATGACCTCAGTTGCCATGTGAGCATGAGCATCTCCCCCCAGGACCACAGTCCCATCACACTCTGCCAGCAGCTCTCATTGACACTTTGCTCTTGCATTATTACCTTTAAAGCTTCAGTCCCATCTCAAGGGAAACACTCTGGGAACTACCATGCCCCAGAGGACACATTCATGTGCTCCCTCAACGTGCTTCAGGGTTACAGGCAACTCAACCCCAGCTGACTCTCCCTCTCCACACCACCCCACCACAGCATCCATTCATTTCCATCACCTTCCACTTGGTTATTCCCTTTAACCTTTGCAAAGCTGATCACGGCATTTGAATATTGCTGTGAAACTTCAAGTTCTGGGAAGAATTTCAAGGGGTTTTAAGTTATTTTCTCAAACAGTGGGGGAAGAACAAGAAAGTGGTCATTTCCTTCCACGGGGCATCCATTCATTTCTCTGCTCTAAACCACATTGTTTTTCATCTCACAGCTTGACTACTCCACAAGAAAGGTATATTCCTTCCTATTACATTCTATTTCTCACCCATGGTGTGGCTCCAACCCTGACATCCAGAAACCATTCCTCAGCTGGTTTGCACAATCCCTAACAGGAGCTATTATCAGCACATGAGCACTTGCTCCATCCATTTGCAACCTCCCAGCTCAGCCTCAAACTGCCCAGGACAGAGCGCATCTCTGACCAACACAACCCTTACAGCCTACACTGGCCACTCCTCTGCACTTCCAGGTTAGAGAGAAATCACTGCAACCAGAGCAGGCATTTCTGGACATCACTTGCAAACCCCAGTGCAGAGCTTAACCAGGACCAACAGATGAACTGCCAGCAAAGGGAAGGTGGACAGAGAGGTGCCACACTTCAAATCAGGGGGTTACCAGTTCCTGCAATGGTTAGAAATACTTTTCCCAGGCTGACACAGAAACCCCTCCTTTAACCAAGGAGAGCAATGAAACCTCTCTCAGAACAGGCTTGAAGAACTCAAAGTCATTTCAAAGTCACCAGGCACCCACCGCACTTGCTTCAGCTCATGCAACTACAGGACTACTTCTTGTTCTCCTTTCACCACACGCATCCAAGTCCCAGTAAATATCAGCAAAGCCCTTTACATCTCCCATCACATTCCCAATATGCTGAGATCTTTCTCCAGAAGCCTTTCCAGTGAATAAAGTGGTCCCAAACAAATACTGCTTGTTATTTAGACAGAGCCATCCTCGCCTGGAATCTCTTCCAAACACACTTCAGCAGCAGCATAAGGAACAGCATCTTTTCCTGACATATTTGAGTCTGATACAAACATGGGTATTTTCTACAGAGAAGCGTGACTCAGGTCTCTCATCAATATGTACATACAAAGCTAAACCACAATTTCTCAGTTGCTTCTGGGTAATACATGGTGGTAACTTGGAACTAAAGCAATTTTACAGTTTTGTATGATGCGTAAAAGCATAGAGGTGTCACTTACTGTCAGATGATCCCGTTTCTGGTACGTCGGGAGAGGGTGGAAGGCATCCCAGCAGTCTTTCCTGGATTTCCTCTAGTCTTGCTCTGGATGATCACATACAGACAGGAGCAGCAGCAAGGCTGAGGGAACACAAACAAGAAATGACAACATTAGCCCAGCAAAAGCACTGCTGGAGTGGCCTAAACCTGTTTGCTGGTACAATCCAGCGTCATCACAGGGAGGGAAACTGAGGCACCAACCACTGAAATCATTCCAGAAGTGCTCTAAGGGGAAAGATGGGAACTTGGAAAAGACCCAGAGCAGGGATTTACAAGGACACACCTGAGTGTGCCTCTGCTCTACAGACCCAAGAGCAGCAGCACTGTCCCTGCTGAGGCATGAGTGCCACATTCAACAAACCAGGCTCGCCTCATCCTCTCTGTCCAAAGGGTTTCTCATCCATTCAAGAAGAGGTAAAGGCTCTTTCGGACAGACACGAACCTCTCATGCTCGCATGTTCTGACACCAGCTCTGACCATATTGGGGGGTATTTGCAGCCCCAGCAGGTAAACAAGCAGGTAAACGAACTGGTTCAATAGCATGGCTGAGTTACACACATTCAGGAAACCACCTTGCTCCACAGCAGCCCCAGCAGCAGGGATTATTCACGTGTAGCTCAACTACAGCTACACTCAACAGGATGAGGCTTCTGTGAAACCCCTACTGTGGAGACCAGGAAATAGATTGCCTGACTCATCCAGGAATTCTGTCAGGATCCTCCACACTTCCCCAGCCTAAAACCAATCCCACCTCTCCAGCAATCCACAACATCCACCAGCTTCCAAGTGTCTGGATAAGGACGATGGGACAGATGCAAATAGGAGAAAAAGCCTTTGGAAGGTGCTTCCTTGTTGGTACTAAAGAAGAGGAGAAAACCCCACAAGTTAAATGCCAGTAATGCCCAACACAAGGAAGCACCTACTCTGCCTCCCATTACAAGCGCTGCAGTTTCCAGCAGGCATCTTCCTGATGCTTGCACCAGCAGGGACCTTGCAAGCCCTGGAGATGACCCAGCAGCTCCGTGCCTGTTTCCCCTCTCACAGATAGAGCAAGGGGGCTCAGGGTAGGCTGAGATCAGGTGTGGGTGAGACCTCATCAGCCCTTTGGCCCAGGCACTTGTTTCTACAGCACCTGGGTACCCCATAAATCATCCTCTTTGTTTTGGGCTATCACAGCCTGGGGTAGCAGCTGAGGCGCAAGACTCATGGAAAGGGCTCAGACTCAGTTCCTCTTCAGACTCATTTGGAAACTTTCATCACGTGACACTACCCAAAGTGTCACTTATGATATCCAACCTAACAACTACAGTACCCAAAATGCCACCTACAATACACAGCCTAGCACCTCTGGTTCCCAAAGTGCCACCTACAATACCCAACCTAACACCAATGATATCCAACCTAACACCCCTTCAAGTGCCGCCTACGCTACTTCAAGTGCGACATACTCTACCTAGCCTGACACCTCCAATATCCAATGTACCACCTATGCTACCCAACCAGTCCCAAAGTGCCACCTACAAGATCCAACCTAACAACTGTAATACCCAAGCTTTAACCATGTTCTCTATCTGCTCTGGCATATGAATAGATACAGTGCATGAACCCAGGAAAAGAAGAAAAGGGCTATCTTTGGAGTCAGCTATTAGGGACCGTTATTTCATCCCTTTGCAGTAGTTATGCGTATTGCATTTAGTGTTCCTCTGCATGCCTGCTTCTCCAAGAAACACTTCCACTTCCTTCTTTTGAGTTTCCTCCTCTGCTGAAAGCATCACTTAGGAGCACAAGCGCAACAGCAGCATTGATTTGTGATGTACCTACTGTGGCTGGCCACCCCCTCAGCTGGCAGCAGGGCAATCACCGCCAAGCAGTTCTATGGCTCCAAGACTGAATCTCAAAGTCCTGGAGTCAATATCATCATGTTTTGCATGACTGGCAAAGAACAGGAGACTCTGGAACAGCCCCAGCTTGAGCACCCATTTCTAGCAACAAAGAGTAACTTTTGGGATGGGAGTATCTCACTGGGTGGAGTATCTGCTAGTTGAGCAAATCCAGCTTGAAAATTGCTTCCTCAGTGCTCAACACTGCTATGCTTGGATTCAGCATGTGGGATGCTGAACCAGTGTCATTCCTTCTATGAGCTGAGCAACAAATAGTTTCGTACATGAGTACTATGTGTGCAGTCAGTGTTATCAAAGGCACATTTTAAGCAAAATACATACATGCGCTCTTGAAACTACAGAGACAGTGCTCTTGAAACTACAGAGACAGTGTCCAACGTGAATCCAACAGCACTAGCCAGTGTAGCAGAAGCTCTGATAGTGCACATCATTGAGCTCAGAGATTATTTGCACCACTTCCATCCATGGTAAAAGTCAAACCTGATGTAGGAACTTGCTAGTACATGTGGTTTAACCTACCTGTCTGGACATAGTAAAAGTCCGTGGTTGTTTCTGTATCATGCTCCCTGACCCTGTAGACTTGCATTTCTCCTAGCCCACACCGTATTACATATCTACAATGACATGCCTTGAATGGTGCTTACTGTACATTGTCTTACTGTGAACAATAGGCTTATGCCATGCCAGCTCTGGCTGCAGTAAAAAAAACAGTCTCCAAGCAATGCTTTTCCTCCCAGCCCTTTTTGAATATCCAAATTCATCTGCAACACTCCACTCCTTCAAAGCAATAAAGGTGCATACTCACCTCTGCCCAGCCTTCCTTAAGAAATGGTGTCTAAAGGTACATTGGTGCTGCAGTTCCCTGTATGCAGGTGCTGCTGCCATAAAGATACTTGGCCTTGGAAGTGCCTGACCTCCTGGTCCTCACCTGATCTGTGCGGCCATGGAAGGCGAAAGGCAGGCAAGAAGGCATGGCCCTTCCGATTGCACAGTCTGATACCTGCATCGGGGTCTGCAAAAGCCAGTGGAAGCAAGCAGGTGGGAGTGAGGGCTGCGTATAATGTTGGAGAAGCGTTACACCAGTCTGTACCCCCAGTGCTTGTCTACATGTAGTTATGTTTCTGGAGAAGAGAAGCCTCCTACATGACATGAAGCAAGCCTTATAAGCTCCTAGTTAAGCTGACTGCAGCTGAGAGCAGCATCACTCCATGGAGTGATGGGACACCTTCCACTAGAGCAGGTTGAAATATCCTCACTTACTTACAGACATAAAAAAGTCCATCTGCGTACTGCCCACATATAGAGCACTCTCAGGTGCCAAAGAAACCATCTCCCTAAGTGCAAATGTCCAGACCCTGCTCCTAAGCCTGATGTGTTAGGACAAAAAACAGGAGCTGGGCATCACCTACACACCTCCAGAACAGTGCCACCAACATGGATATCCTCCTTTACTTACCCACCTAAAACTCCATTTCTTTATGTAAAGCCTCCTTGCACAGCACTTTCCGGTGACCCAGAAACCAGCTCCATATGTACAAAATTCCAGACCCTGATCCTGGCCATACAGGAACATACAAAGGCCACCTACTATAACCTGGGCCATACAGACTGTTCTTTCACCCGCTGGCTCCTGCCATGGAATCTTAGGTGGAAAAGCATTAGCAGATATCCATGTTGGTGGCACTGCTCCGGAGCTCACCATGCATAGGTGATGCCCAGCAAGACCTTTATGTCTTTGCACATTACTTGTAGGACATTTGCAACACTTCATTTACAAGTACTGACACAGCAAGATTAACATGGACCTTTCTGCAGCAAAGGTACTCCCTCCCTTTCCCCCAAGGCCCATAGGCTGCCATTGAATACAACTAGCAGCACATACTTCAGATTCCATATTTAGCTTAATACATAAGTAGACTGGAAAAAAAGGAAAAGAAAATGTAGGTGGATTTACTTATTTTTGTTATATCTGCTTTATGGTGCACAATTCTCATGCTCTGAAGACGTGCAAAGTAAGATAGAGCATAGGTATATTGAAGGACAAAAGAGAACACAAAAACTACCTTGAAAACTTCCAGATGGTGTTCAACCTGAAGTATTTTCTCTTTGAAAGTCATAGTTGCTTCTTTGTTCTACTATATGAGTTCTCCGAAGGGCAAACAGCACTCTGCTGTGGCTGTCCAGTATGGAGCACCTCTGATGGTCAAAAAGGGAGCCATGAGGCCCATTCCTTCAGCCCTGTATTGTGGGAAAAGTGGAAACAACAAGGATTTGGTGAGAGGAGCAGGAATGTGATGCATCAGAGACAGGACCACCTGGAAGGCAAGGAGATGTGTAAATTCCTGCAGGTACCGGTGTCTTGGGAAGTTGCACAGGCTAATTTAAGCTGTGCTGGTGCTGAAGTCCATTCCCAGTCAAGCCAATAGTGCTCATGGTAACTTGCTGTAGTGTTTATTTCAGAAATGCTCTTCTTCAAGGACTGGAAAACTTGATTTCAGGAGGATATCACTGTAACTGGTGCAGGGGCAGCCATGCATGGGGTGATCTGCAAGGAAGCTCAAATTAAGTAGTAACCTCACGGTGAGTGTGCATCAGTAGCCGACAGCTTCTCTTCAATAAGACTTTTCAGCTTTGGACTTAAAAACCATAATCCAAATATATGCAGTCATCCCACTTTTGGGACCCTACACACCATCTCTGATGCTGGCTAACAGCAATGTGCTTAGCAGGAAACACAAGGCTGTGCAAGTCTCCCTGGGGCCCCGGCTGTATGGGAAAAGCCTCTGCAGGTCCACATGTCAGCTCTGCATGGCTCATGGTTGCACTAGCTGTTACTTTGTCTGTGAACAGATCAAGCTCACGATTGAAGCTCGCATCAGCTTCAAATCCCTGCCTGAGCGTCCAGTAAACCAGAGGTGTTTCCTCTCCCTGGGTGTTTAGGCTGAGGCCATAGGTCTAGGCAGGCAGGCAGCAGGGTTAATGCAGTCCCTCTCCTAACTGTAATGGCTATAAATCTCAGCCAACACCTTAGCCGCGTGAAGGTGGTCCATGCCATCACAAGCATGTGGGAGGTAGAATTTCAGGTACACTGATACATTAGCTAAAAAGGGTGAGTCATTAGTGTTTGAATTAAACAAAAATGCTGGAGTGTTTTCCTTTGTGTTGGGATAGAAGCAGAAAGCTCATTTATGAGCTGTTTTCCTTCCCTTACCTATTTTCCCCATGATGTTTAAAATCCAAGTTCTTTTAAAAGAAGTTTTGCATAAAAACAGACTGAGAACATTGGGGCTGTTTAGTCTGGAGAAGAGAAGCTGCATGGAGACCTCAGAGCAGCTTCCAGAGTCTGAAGGGGGCTACAAGGATGCTGGGGAGGGACTCTTCATCAGGGACTGCAGCAATAGGACAAGTGGTGATGGGGTCAAACTGAAACAGGAGAAGTTCAGGTTGGAGATAAGGCAGAAGCTCTTCCCTGTGAGGGTGCTGAGGCACTGGCACAGGGTGCCCAGAGAAGCTGTGGCTGCTCCATCCCTGGCAGTGTTCAAGGCCAGGTTGGACACAGGGGCTTGGGCGACATGGTTCAGTGTGAGGTGTCCCTGCCCATGGCATGGGGGTTGGAACTGGTTGATCTTGAGGTCCTTTCCAACCCAAACCATTCTATGATTCTATAAATGGACTGTATGTATGAGGAGAAGGGGTAGGATTGTATTTTGAACTATGTAACATATTGCTCATCTGATATCAAGGTGATGATGGGATACAATGTACCTGGCTAAAATGGTTTTAATAACTTGATTTGAGACTTCTTCTATTTTCTAGTTCAGGTGGCTGTCCTAGTTACATGAGCCACATATTGATGATACCAGCTTCAAGTACATTGTCAATGTATTTGTCAATGTATTTGAACCCATTTTATTACCTGGACTTAAAACCAGTTTAAGTCCTTAGTAGAACTGCTTGCACCAAAACTTTTCCATAGAGCTAAGAAACTATCCAATTTCTTTTTCCAGGTCAAAACCTTGATGAATGATGTGCAATATAGAAAAAAAGTTTTGAAGAAACATATGTGTTTCCTTCCTTCTATTAAAAACTCCTGGCTAGGTCTCTTAAGCAGCTCTTATGTGTATTTGTACACACTAGATAACATTGGCAGGTACTTTTGGTGTCATGCATTTGTGTGACTGGCTCCTCTTCTTTAAACTAAGGATGCTTTACATCTTTAGCTATTGATAACTTCATCCATCATAGCTGGCAATGTAAGAGTAGGTAAAACACTGACATCTAGTGCCTAAAACAAAGCATCCAAAAGCGCTCTGCGATTCTTGGGCCTCTAGGCTGGATGTTGCCTGTTCACTAATATTATGGACTGGAGTATGTTACAGATATTAATATTATGGTTTATCTCTGGATCAATGCAAGGAAGCTGTTGGTTACAATATGCAGCTGGTGAGACAGGGTGGGAGATGAAGTTCTCTGTCTAG